ATAGTTGTAAAAAGGTTGTCGGTATAGAGGAAATCATGGCTACAAAATTCACAACATATGGTGTACTTGCAAAAGTAAACTTGGGTAATTTGTGTACATTTATCTTCTCTGCACAATTGAATTTATATTGAATTTTGTATTTCTTTTTCTTATCTTTCTAATTCTTTCTTTTCTCATATTTTCTTTTATTACTGGAGACTCTCTTTGCCTACCCATGTTCTACCCATGTGAGCTTATGTCCACAGAGACCCCATGGGCAGTTGACAGATGGCAAGGCACTGCCATACACAGATGCCCACCTCTTATCTCTCACATCTTTGCCAAGACAAAACACATGAAGTAGGCATGGAATCAAACATTTGAGGGAACAAAATCTGGAGAGAAACACTGAAACAGTGCAAAGCTGTAGTGTGTCTAATCAGCAAAATTTCATCCCGTCATTGTTGTCACGTCTGGTACAGCACCGTGCAATTATTTTTTGTGTGTGAAAGTACTGTTAAGGTAAATTGATTTAAAAGTGTAAATAATCTGAATTTTTAAAATCAATAAACATGTGAATGCTTATGCAGACACTTCCTTTTCAGTTATGATCAGGTATGCTTTACATTTTTGGACTAGTCAGAGTTCATCCTTTGCAATTTAAAAGTCTTAGAAGAACATAGAACACAACAGCAGTCGGCATAGTTTTTTTTTTTTTTTTTAACTTGCCAAGCTATATTTGCATTTTTGAAAAATGTGAATGTGAACATTTTCTAAAAACGGATATTAATGACCTAATTTTACAAAGAAAAATGCAGAAGCTAATAACCAGAAAGTCATTATGATTTCAACAGTCATAATTGAAAATTAAATCACATTTTTCGTAACAAGTTACTTACACAGCCGAAAAATATTAATAGTAATAGAACAAAAAAAATTTAATGTTCATTTTCATGTTCACTGGTAATGAATGTTCATTTTGTACAGATATTAAAGGCAAATGGATTTGTATTTACATAGCACTTTTCTACTCTTACTGAGCACTCAAAACACTTTTACACTACAAGCCGCATTCACCTATTCACACTCACCTTCATAAAGCACTTTTTTCTGTGCGCTTTAAGCACTTTTTTTCTATCACACACACACACACACACACACACACACACACACACACACACACACACACACACACAATGGCTGCATTAAGGGCAATTTGAGGCTCAATATCTTGCCTGGGGACTCTTTATCATGTGGACATGGGATCAAACCACCAGCCTCCCAATTAGTAGTACCATATGAATGCCTATATGTGGTGGATAAAATGTACATGCATTTCAAAAAGACAGAGCCATGAATTGGAAAATGGTTGGCCAGGATATATAGAGGATTTTGTATATAGTCAGTAGGCTGGAACATGCTCCACCACTGATGCAGTCTAATAACCATAAGAAGATAAGAACATTAGCACAACATGTAAACTCTATCTATCCTTGTGCAGGCAATACAAATAGAAGCCTTTTATCCTGCTTGTTTACATGCTTCAAACACTTTACATATGTCTGGTATCATGTATGTTCAAGCCCAAACATGTCAGCTCCAACCTGAACTGCAGTGTGTGAAACACAGCACTCCAGATTGGAAGCCAGCTTGGGGTAAAGGTTAATGGAAACAACCTGCAAAACAGAGATTTTCAACATCTGCTGTGGCAACCTTGGCAATGTAATATTCTTTTTACCAAAAACATTTTTTTTAAAATATGGGGCTACAATAAAAACTTTTATTTTCAAAAGGCTCAGTGTTCACCATATAAGCTGTCCCTGGATATTTGTTTGAGGATTCACATTCATAGGTGAACCTGAGAAACTCAGTGTCAGGTTGAAAATTGCCTTGAGGCAGGCTAAGACGATTCTGCCAGGCTTAAGATCAGAGGAAATGGAAAAAGAAAAGAACACTAGAGAACAAGTCCCAGTCTAATGTGAACATGGGAAGGACAGGACGGCGCTGTCTCTCACCCTGGAGAGAGCCTGAAAATATCTTCTGTTGTCAGAATCACTTACAAAGAACACAGTGCACAAGTTAGGGCCACACATTTTACCCGTACAGGTAGGTCACCAAACCATCCACAGTCATTTAATCCATCTTATATTCAAATCCCTGCAAAATAGCTTTCTTTTAAACATTTAGTATTGAATTATTGTAGAATTATATAAGTACCATGTCAGTCAAACTAAGTATATACAGATAAGCATGTACACATATTTCTGTATTATTTTGTTTTCCAACAGATTAACTTATAGGCTTACAGACAGCTTTCAGGCAATAAAGATTACCTCTGCATCTGGCATTTGCTCATTTACAAGACAAGTCATTTCCTGTGTCAAATATCACTAGAATGTGTACAGTATACAATCGCATTAAACTGAATATTTCACACCAGAACACTGAGATCCTGCTGTATTTTTATAATGTTATGTGGATAATGCTAATCTCAAAAGAGGGTGATAAATGCATTTCTTTAGAATGTGAAGGATAATAGTGAGGGAGCTCAAAAAGCAGTGCTATTGAAATCACCTTGACACTTAACAACTTGAAAAATTGTTCAGTGTGAATGTTGCTGGGCAACAAACATAGTTACAGCCATGGCTGAATGTTTTGGTAAATTTTATCTTTAAAGCTACATTTTGTTCTAGGTTGACACAATTTCCCATGGCAGTGAACAGTTACACTTGGCTGTATATTGTCAAAACAAGTAAAAAGTATTTTACATGAAAACAAAGCATAAGATATAGTTTCTGTCCAAGCAGCTAATTCATGTTTCTTCTTCTGTTTTTGCATCTTTTTTATTTGTCAAATACTATCTATCCAATAGGCACATAAATAAACAAGTGATTAATTGGCAGAGTAAAAAGGTAAACTTAAACTTAACAGTTATAGTTCTTTAGAAGAGAAATCACAGCTGTAGCCTATGGGCTGGCACAGCCTGTATCTCCATAACTTCACAGGGTATTAATTGTTTCAGCACCGTCAGCAGAATGGCCTCTGCTTGTTGAACTGAATCCAGAAGTAAAGTCATCAGCCAAATTGCATGGGCGCAGATACAGCGGCCGAACCACAGTGCAAGATGCTTAATTTTAAGATGGTATTGGAGGTTGTCTGGAAATGTTAAGCGATATCCTGAAAACAGGTGTAGAGCATAGCAATAAATCTGAATTTGGCACAATAAATCTCAATTTCACTGATTAATTCCAGCCATGATAGTTGGAATAAACTGGTAAAAGTAAGATTTGACTATTTCTTTCCAAATCTTTATGACAGTGCCCTTTTGTCTAAACACAATTAAATCTGCATGACTTCTTCATCTCTGTATATTGTATTCTATATATATGTTACTTGTTTATTGTGTTTTGCTTAACTTTTTTAGCACTGATGTGGGACAGTACTACAATTTCTTTGTACAACACATGACTGTGCAATGTCAATAAAGAGTTAAACTTAATTTTGTCTTGCACTACAAATTGGAAAAGTGGATCCTTTTCAAATATCTAACTGACACATGAAACACTGTGGGTAGGGATCATGACATATTTCAAATTCACAGAAAAGGGTTACAGCAAAGAAATAGGAACAGAGGTGCCACTGGAATTTACAGTTTGTCACAGACACTCTTAACACATCACCACTAACTTCTAAAAGCAGTGTTGTGTTTTAGAACAAATAAAGATGGTCTGAATTAAAGTTCAAAACATACACTCTAAAGACAAAAGTAGAAAGCCATGCTGTCTAACATTTGTAAACATTCTAAAGAGCTTGTGGTGTTGCAGTCAGTTTGCAAAATTCCTCCTAGATGTTCAATCATTAACTGGTATTAGTTTTATTATTTCTGGTAAGTAGTATTATTGTAAAGTGAAAGTATTAGTATTTAGTATTTAGCAACTTGGTCACAAATGCCAAATGTTTTCCATGGTCAAGCAGTTCCTGTAGGTGCAATGTGTAGGTGGCCAAGAACGTTTGTCAAAATCTTGATATTAAAAATGTATGGTATTTTTAAAAATGTAAAATCTCCCCAAAAATATGTTAGTGCGCCATGGGTTAATAGGTGGAAATTTATATGAAAACATGTTATTCATTCAAGTAAAAATGAATCGATAATGCAGTGTGCAAAAGAAAATTGGGGTCAGAATACTTACTAAAGCAGTTGATGTCAGTATAAGAATGGAGCTATGTCTGAAGAAAGGGCAACCATATATTAGTAACCCAGAGCAGATGCAATGGACATTAAAAATTCAGCTGGCCATTTCTTTCTTAAACACACAAAAGCTTTAAAAGGCCACCGGGGTCATGCAGAGGGAGACGATGTGAGTTAAATACCACTGCATTTTCAATGCAAATTATTGAAAATGCAGTGGTATTTAAGAATTCTGGTATTTTGGGGTGACACGTTTTCTGTAACATATTAAGCAAAAATAAAACAATAATAATATTAATAATTTTGCATGTAAACTGAGATAAAAGAGTTTAGTCCTGAAAGTTCTGGAAAGGCGTCAGTCAGCAACAAAATAACAATCTTTAAATTCAGCACCATGGACAGCATCATTCAGCAGTTTGCATAGATCCTCTGTATGGGAATATATTAGAGCTGCCTTTGCAACGTGCCCATTCTCTCATAGTTATGCACATATGTATAGGATACTTGCGTTTCTTAGCTTCGTATCACAAACTTAATAAGCACCCTAGAAATAATCTCAAGCATAATTCAAACAACTAAAGCAAAGTGCTAACCAACAACCATTTCTGAATATTGTCCAAAACTCACATACATGAAATACGAATACTAAAGTTCATTCCATTTAGTTATTATCTAGCAGTGCAAACTATCAGTGTAAACTGGCTTTCATAAGTAATAATAGTAAAAAAAAAAAAAAATCATACCACCAAAACATGATCGTGACGACATTGGACGAGCTCCTGAATCGTTCTCTCACCAGAAGAGGGCATTCCGATTCTGCCTGACAAAGTTGCTTTGACATGTAGACGTGATTAACAACAGCGTCATGCTGCATTTCAAACCGAGCAACAACGAGAATCAAAGGTTTACAAAAAGGTGGATATTTGAAGATTTGACTATCTCGTGATACCCGCTGACAGCGTTTACAACGACTTGGGGATATCCTCGCCTTACTTTCCTGCGCGCTATGCGCGGATTGTACTGAGCATCTCTGAGAACAGAGACGCAGAGGTTTATTAGGAATCTGGGGGCTGGGGAGTCTACTGGAACATTACGCCCCGCATTTTTTTTGCACTATAATTGTGAAGTTTTTTTGTTTTTGTTTTTTTTTACCTGGATATTCGCAAAATCTGCATGTGTAAGACTGACATGACTTACTCGGATGTGGCTTCGCTATTATCTGCACCTAATGCAGTACTCTTTCTGGCTGTTATTTGAAAAAGAGAGAGTGATCCTTTGCAGCGAAGAGATGGATAAGGAATTCTGAACCCGGATTTTTATCCCTTTATTTCGGAGTTGGAAGTAAATGACATTCGCCCCGGCTGATTTGCACGGTTAGAGATGCAGAACTAAACCGGATAGTGCACCCAGGTCCGGGAGAGTAAAGGGCAGGTGCGCTTTGGAATCGGCGGCTGCGCGGAGAGACAGGGCTAGTGGATTAGAACGATACCTGACTGTGGAGAGCGCGTCATGCGGACTCGGATGTCGCGCACTAGAAGCCGTTAAAACCTGTAGGCTGGAGCTAACAGATAAGCGGATATGGGTAAGTTTGTTTATGCCTCAATCTTTTCGATAGCGTAAGTTAATGTGAAATACACTCATTTTTCTCCTTCCTCTTAATACAGACCACAATTATCTTCTTCTTTTGTTCCAGAATAAATCTGCTCTGAATCTGATGTTTAAAAACGCATGCCTTTTCAAATGCAGCGTGTTAACATCCAATAAGCGTTATAGTGCCGTTCATTAAGTGGTTCGTGAAGCTTGTGGAATGTGGTTGAAACCCGTGCTGTTGCCTGTTAGTCGCAGAGCTGCAGTGTGCTTTTCCTCCATTTCCTGACGGTGTGGCTTATTACAGACTAATAATAGTTAATTCGTATTTTTCAACACTGTACGATAACAGATTCGGTGCAGTAATCAGAACAAAGTAATTAAACATGTTTGCCCAAGTGATGACTGTCCATTGTTTTCCTTACTAGTTAGAGTGGCTGGCTCATTGACATGGACCGGAATGCTAATCACGCTAAATGTTGGAAGACAGTCAACTTTATAAAGCGTGGTCCTGCATAATCATTTTTGTCTGATCTGTATGCATGGAGCCCATTGTCCAGTCGCAGTCACTGCTCCCCAAAACTCTTCTAATCAGAGTCCATCCGGTCTTGCTGACTTTTCCTTGCAAACCATTCAGATAACCGGTATTGTGAACCTGCCATGAAGAGGGAATCTCCAAATTGGGCATATGGCTGTATGTCTTTGTATCAGTAGCCTACTATGTATTTGTGTGTGTGTGTGTGTGTGTGTGTGTGTGTGTGTGTGTGAGAGAGAGTGTATGTGTTGTCTCCCCCTCTTCACTAACACACAGTCATATATGTTTCCGCATCTTGTTCTCACTTCTGATTAGAATTGACCATTTTCCCTGTTCTTTTTCCCCTTACGCCTGCGCACAGTTACAAGCTCATAAACCATACCCACCACCCACTCTTTCCTATTCCATTTGTCCATTTCTTGGAATTTAACAGTTAGATTTTTGCATTCTTTTCCACCCCACTACAATTCCTCAAATGCCATTAGTGCATTTCCTCCGCCTGATGTTATTATCGGAAGCAGGCAAAGTCCATATTCTTAACTAACATACAGATGAAAAAGATTACTGGTGAGGCTGTTCCATTAATTGTGAGACCACATGATATATTAACCCACAGTAGGGTACTGCACCACATCGATATATTCTACAAGAGCACACAAAGGCTGCAGGAGCTCAGAGGCATTGTGCATTAGATGTACTGATGTACTAATTGAATAAATCTGTTTTATTTCCTTTTTTGTTAATTCAATAATAAATCTCAGAAATTCAGAAATTCTTGTACAAAGTGTCAACCACATAGCATGCTTTTGCCCACTATTATTTGATGATTGCATGGCGCTGTAGTCTCACTCATCCACCAGTCTAGCTGACTGGGATGCTCTTCATTAACAGCATGCAATGTACTTATGTTTTATGGACCATATCATTAGAGATCTACTTTTGGAAAGGGAACAGTGGGGTAGGGACAGCTAAAAGCCACCGCTTGAGATGGAATTGCACGGGTTTAAGATAGGTTAAGGAGCTCTAAATAACCTTTTGCATATGGTTATCTAGAGCTCCATTAACAAAAACAAAAAGAAGAAAAAAAAGACAGCTGTCCTTATAAACAAGAAATACAATTGTTTAGCTGTTAGTTTGTGTAATATTTTAGTCTCTGATTTCAAGTTCCAAGTAGTAATCTAGTGTAGCAACAGATGACATTTGTTGGACCTGTGCACTTCAGGTGAACCAGGTAAACAGAGAGGCTAAACAGGCCCTTGAGGGCAGCAGTTCTTTAAAAAGGAAAAGGGAAAAAATTCAATGCCAGAATGGACTTTTGATATGACATCTAGTATCAATATTAATACCTGTTTATGGAAGGCATTGGTTGACTACAGCTTGTGATAGTTCTTGTGCTTAGAACTGTAGACAATTGTCACGCAAAGTCAGCCATGATTGTTTTGTTTCACAAGCCAAATTTGAAACAGAAATGAAAAGAAAGTTACAGACCCCATGTGGTTCAGTCTGATTGTTTATGAAGATGGCACTTAAAACAGCTGCTGCACAAAGTTTCAACTGGAAAAGAGAGAAAAAAAATGTTTTGATGTGAGAATGCCAGTCTACAGAGCTAAGTTCTCCTAGGTACATCAAACAAAGAACTATTATAGATGATATCAAGGAAGCTAAGTTAGTGCAAAAAGGTATATTTTCTACTGCTGGATTAGGTTAATAGTAACAAATAACAAGCATGTTAAGGAACCTTACTGGAGTAATGGGTTGAAAATATGATGTGTGGAGCTTGGTTTTTTTTTTTTTTTTTTCCTTCTTTGGTTGTCAATTAAGCTATACAAGCTATGTTAAGATGACATAAAAGATGATAGAAAGCACAGTGTTATATGAGGCTACAGGCAAATTTGTATTGAACTTAAAACAGAAATTGTATTACTAGTTTTTTGCTGCCCTCAAAATATCACTGCAACCACAAGAATTTTGGTTACATGCCGTTACTTGCAGCAATATGTTGTGTTGTTACAGTAACCATAATGAAAAGCACTTTAGGGAGTTCAGAGAGGAATTTGATATGGCCAGAGACTTATTCCACTGCACTGCAGTGAGTAGAGTGCACTGATTACTTATTCTCTGACTACCTTCATGGAACTATTGCCACCAAGGGAAATCAGGAATCAGACAAGGGGCAAAAACAAAACATTGTTTCTCTCTCTCTCTTTCTCCTTCTCTCTCTCTCTCTCTCTTTCGGTCTATTTGTCTCAGTATATACGCATATCTATGTGTGCTTGTTTGCACACGGTATTCTTGACGATACTCCCCCCAGTGCTTTTCTACTTGGTTTCTAACAAACACAAGGCAGGCTTACAAGGACACAATGTTTTCCAACAACTGTTAAAATGAGTCCAACTTGGCAGGCCTTGCTATCATCTCAAAGATAATTGGAGACTAATAGGATGGCTTAGGCTGATTTGGGGACGTGCTTCCTTATGTTTTAGGCTACTCCCCAGTCTCTGTGCACAGTCAAAACTTAGTCTGGTTGCAGTTTTGTCAATGACAGGCAGCAAATAGCAATGAACCACTTGTGTGCACTCAAAGTGCACCAGTTAGTGAGTCCATTTGCCAAGTTATTAAGCTACATTTGGTTTTATTTTAGGTCAGCAGTAAAGTGCACTTACTCTCTCTATGTGTTAGGGTTGAGAGGCAGAAATAGCTATCTTCTCGTGCTGAGGACAGCAGGGCTGTCTGCTACATAACTAAGCATTACACACATGCCTTTGGACAAACTTTAACTGCGACATATCCATCTTCATTAGATTTTGAGATAAAACTGCTCAGAGTGACGGAGAAAAATGATAAGCGCAGATCTATACATTATAAAGAACAATAAACTCTGTCCAAGAACAATGTTCATCATAAATGGTGACTCTCAACACAAGCAAGAAAAAAAAGAAAAGAAAACATGGCTAGGAAGTGAAAATGGAAATCAAGCAGGGAAGTGAGAAGGGCTGAGAGGATGATTTTGACCACATACATAAAATGGACGGCACATTATAAATACATTCTTATGGTGCTGAGGGTTCAAGGGCATGTGAAACCAGCATATTTTAAACACAATGGAATATAAAGGAGAAATTGTTCATCTTGATGCAGCAGAAGAACAGTAATAGTGAGGGGAACATCAGGTTAGATGTAAAAGAAACACCAATCCTTTGAGTGACACCTGAACGGGTGACTTGTGCTCCTTTGTGAATATGATTAGATGATGAGTGAGGAAGGAGATGACTTACAGAGGCATTAGAGCATAGAGCTCTCATTAAACCACATACAGTGTCAGTAAGGGGAAAAGGGTGTTGTGTGAGGCAGTTTTAGTCTTTAAGAGACGACTCTTCTAATAAAGTAAACATATTATGCACATGAGAGAGGAAAACAGTGGGGGTTGCTTCTTTATGCTTAAATGCAAGATTTAGAAAACATAGCTTCAATAACCTCCGAGTCTAAAGTGTTGTCTATTAAAATACCTTTGAATGCACATAAAACATCACACATGAGTATTCTTGTACATCATTACTTGTCTATTTACTTTACCAGTCTTTTTTTCTGTTTGCCTCTGACGCATGACAGTAATGACAAGTGAAACTTGCGTTCACAAATGTTAAAGCAAAAACCAAATTGTCTGCATTTAGAAATACTGCATGTTGTGATCATCGTCTTTCTCTCTCTGCAATATTTATGTTTAAATATCACAATAGTAAGATCCAAGATGAAGAAACATGATTGATGTATGTGCTAGTATAATCAATAGCCAGCACAAATTATCTGCAGTGTTCTATGGTTTCCTCCATCTGTAAGAAATGATGAAAGATTCTTCTGAAAACAAACAATAAGTGTGTCTCTATCCATCACACTCTTAGACACAGACAAATACACATACCATACCCATATGGGATCAGCAGATGCTTGGCAAAGAGCAAAATGGCTATGTTAGATACCATATGCTACATGATGCCTCTCAGCCACTTTATGTCAGGCACTCATTTATGACAAATCCTGTTATGATTACAAAAAAAACCCAGCAAAATTTAAATCACCAACACACCAAAGCTATCTCCAAAGTGTTCCATGTTTTAACATATCTCTGCCATATAGACATATTCTACATTTTAAAACCATGGACATCTTCCGTTTTGACATAATAACCTCTTTCATTGTGATGACTGTCATCAAGTCCACACTTGATGATCTTGCCTTGAGTAACACAAAGAAGTGAATTCCCTCATACTACCTCCCCAAAGAGAAAATCAATGTATCTTAACAACAGATCATTATTGGCTCTGTAAAGGGGAATGTTTGTGCTGGAAAGAACTCGGTCACATCACAGAACAAGGAGTGATATCACAGGGACTTAATCCTTTTTTTCACTTTTGAACTAGTTTTTAAAACAAAAAATGTAACCCCAAAACCAAGAATTCTGTGCATTCACAATACCCGACTCTTTAAGAAACTAACAATTCTATGCATCATTCACATGTGGGCCATGACATTCTCCACACATACATTTGGATTTCAGGTGGTTGTTTTCTACACCCGAGATGAGCTGTGTGTTCCCATGGGGTTTATTCAGATTTTTATATTTGGACCTGTGGAAAGCAGAAGTGATGATTCACACAAAATCTGTACTGCTCTGTTTGGTTAAAAATGAAATGTCTGGAGTTTAAATTGAAATGCCTCCAGGATTGCATACACAACCATAAGCTCTTGAATGTTAATTTGTTCTTTGCGGGCTCCCTTTCATGACTTATCTGTTCCTGCATTTAGTACAATGACTGCTTATAGGACAATGGAATATAAATGCAGATAAAGATATGATTGTGTAAAGTTTCTTCTCTCAACATTGATTTTCAGTGGGTATTCACTGTAAACTTGCAGAGGCACTGACATAAAAACTAACTGATGTCAACTTTGCCTTATAAGTAAATAACATTTCTTTATATCACTTATTGATGATGGAATCTCTAACAAAAGTAGATTTTAAGGCAGTGCATTCTTAAATTGTTCTTTGGTTGAAAGGTTAATCCTGAAAATAGATTGCTATTCCTTTATAGCTCAGAAATTATGGTGCTTTGTTAGGAAGGTGCTGCTGTTCTAAAACCAGCATATTGCAAAGATATGCATCCACTATTCAGTTGTCTAGGAACACGATGATGCAAGGTGGGGGTCCATTAAAATAATTGTTGATTTGAGATTGTGTACCACGGTGATATTGTTGTATCATAAAATCCAGATTTGCACATCCACATTCAGCCCTGAATCTCCTATTGTACCACACCCCAAAGGTGTATTCTACTGGATTATAATTTGCTGATTGGAAAGGCCATTGAAATCCATTTAACTCACTGTCAGCCATTGAAGTGAAATGACTTTTGGTCATGACATGGTTCACACTATTAAGCTGCAAGTAGTCTGTCGATGATAGAAAATTGCAGCCATAAAGGAATGCACATGGTCAGGAACAATACACAGGCAAGCTGTGGCATTTACGTGATAAATAACTGGTAGTAATGGGCCCAAAATGTGCTACGAAAATATTTCCTACATCATTGGAGAAGGTTAAAGGTTTGAGTTGAATATCCACTAATCCAAAGGTCAGTGGTCGGGTTCCTCCAGTCTGCATATTGTAATGTCCGTAGGCAAAATTCGGAAACCCCAAACTTGCACATTTTTTATCAGCTATGCACATATTTGGTAGGAAAATTACAATGCATATCATTAATTAATCAAGCGTTGCCGATTAGTAGCACGTGGCAGCAATTTACCCTCTTGAAATCTATGGAAGTAGTAAGAGCGAACTTTTCCCCACTGCATGTAGTCTGCATAGCATTTAGGCTTTTAAAGAAATAACATTTAGTGTAATTGTTCATCTGAGGTTGTTTTTGCGTAACTGTAAATCAGATGAGTGGCTAAGAAAATGGATCCTTCATCCTTAACAGCACTTATGCTTTGTCCTGACTTTCTTGTTTGGTGAAGTTGGTTTTAAGCTTTTCAAATATGTTATAATAATATAGGCTGTACTGTGAGGGACTTTTCCTTCAGATGCATTCACAACAATTCCTGTGTTTATTATGGAGGTCAAAAAGTTCAGTTTTTGTATTAGTATACTGACTTCATAAGTAAAAATAGTCATCCAAATGTATAAGTGCAGGTACAGCACTCGATGTTTACCTGAGGACACTTCATCAGAAGTTGCTGCTAAAACTGCTGGATGTCTGGGTGTGAATAAATACATTTTCTGTTCACTCATACAAAAAAGAAAAAAAAAAATATTTGTTTATAAATTAATTAAAAAATATGGCTTAAATGTTTTGGAATTTGTATTAAATCTTTTCTTTATAACCCCTCCCCCCCCCTTCTTTTTTTGTTTTTTCTTTTCCATTTTGTTTTGTCCTTCTCCCTTCCCTCACTATAGGCTCTGCTCTGCGGCGTCGCTGGCTAGTGGTCCAACTCCTGATGCAGGTGTGGCTGGCAGCAAATCCATCTCTAAGTGAGCGCCAGTGCCCCAAGAGTTGTCGCTGTGATGGAAAAATTGTTTACTGTGAGTCAAGCGCCTTTCGTGATGTCCCCAAGAACCTCTCAGGAGGCTGTGAGGGCCTTTCTTTACGATACAACAGCCTTGCCAGTCTTCGTGCAGGCCAGTTTGTAGGACTCAACCACCTCATCTGGCTCTATTTGGACCATAATTACATTGCATCTGTGGATGCAATGGCCTTCCAGGGGGTCCGCAGACTTAAAGAACTGATCCTGAGTTCCAATAAGATCACATCTCTCCACAACACCACATTCCACCCTGTCCCTAATTTGCGTAATTTGGACCTTTCGTATAATAAACTGCAAGCCTTGCAACCTGGACAATTCCAGGGCCTACGGAAGCTTCTCAGCCTTCACATACGCTCAAACTCTCTTAAAATTATTCCAATGCGTCTGTTCCAAGATTGCAGAAATCTCGAGTTCCTAGATTTGGGCTACAACCGTCTGCGCAGTATCACTCGAAATGCATTTTCTGGCCTAGTCAAACTCACTGAGCTGCATCTGGAGCATAACCAGTTCTCAAAGATCAATTTTTCTCACTTTCCTCGCCTCTACAATCTGCGGGCTCTTTACCTGCAGTGGAATCGGATTCGCTCTATGAACCAGGGCCTGACCTGGACCTGGGTCTCCATCCAGAAACTGGATCTGTCGGGGAATGAGCTGACAGAAGTAGATGCTGCAGTTTACCAATGCTTACCCAACCTGCAAACACTCAACTTGGATTCCAACAAGCTGACCAATGTTTCCCAGGAGGTAGTTGATGCCTGGATCTCTTTGACTATGATTAGCTTAGCTGGGAATGTATGGGATTGTGGCCCTGCCATCTGCCCATTGGTGGCCTGGTTGAGAAACTTTAGAGGGGCAAAGGAAACCACCATGATTTGCGCCTCCCCGAAGAAAGCCCAGGGTGAAAAAGTGATGGATGCAGTTGAAGCTTTTGGTGTTTGTAAATCAAACCAAGCAACACCACTCACAGTGAGTATTCCTCCAAACCCATCTAGTGTCCCTGCCCAAACTGAGCATCGCCCAGCTATCCTTGCTTCACCCACTGATTCTGGAAAGAGAGGTGAAGGATCTCTTAGGGGTCCTACATCTTCAGCAGTTACTCCACCTGTAGCACTACCCCCAGAGCAAGACTTGGAGCCTGTGTCTTTCCACAAGATTGTGGCTGGAAGTGTTGCCCTTTTTCTTTCCGTTGCGATGATCCTGTTAGTAACATATGTATCATGGAAGCGCTATCCTAGCAGTGTCAAGCAACTGCAGGAGCATTCGGCAGCAGCTCGCAAACGTCGCAAGAAAACTAGAGAGACGGAGCGCACACTGAGCTCTCCCCTGCAGGAGTACTATGTGGACTACAAGCCCACCAATTCTGAGGCCATGGATGTGCTTGTCAATGGGACCGGACCCTGCACCTATACCATTTCAGGCTCTCGAGAATGCGAGGTATGACCCACACCACCGCCACTACTCCTAAAATAAAACTCGGTCCACAATGATGCGACCAGAGGTAATTATTTGCATTGCTTTAATAAAAATTAGTCTTGTACATGATTACTTAACCTAACCCAGTAGGTTTGGTAAATACTGTATTCCCATGGATTATTACTGAATGAAAATAGATGGCTTCAGCATTACTGTGTGTATAAGAAGATATCTCTTGCTTTCACATGGTTGTTTGTGTATTTGCTTAAGCCATAATCTCTGCTGAGGTGCAAATGTTTGTTTTGCCACAGAATGGTACAGAAATACAGATAAATGAGACTGATTACATACCCTGTTCCTCGTAATCTTGAGATTAAGCTACGCTGTTTGTGGTTAGACATTTGTACGTGTTTAGATAGTTGTTTGCTTGCATATCACAGACTTTCTGCTTTGTGTGTTTGCTCTACCATTATTCGGTTTTTGATGAGAAGTATTGTGAATAGAGAATAGCTGAATGGTGGGAAGATTCACTTATGGACACCGGATGTGAATGCTAATAGAGACTCTTGTCACTGAAGAGAGCTTTCCTTGAGTTGGTGACTTCACATTTTTGTATGACTTGAGAAGTTGGTAGAAAATACTTAATCTTATTGTCCCCAAAGAGAACTTCTGTTTTCCACCTTCCTTTCTTATTGAGTTGTTGAAGTTACTCACTTGTTTACTCCCTTGCTTAATTGATTAGTCATGCATAAACCATATGCATACTTCACACTTCAGTTAACACAGGCAATGAAAAAAAAATGACACGCAAACACACACACACACTAAAAACAGCCTTTGATAGTTCCAACAGGAGTGAGAATCCTTTGAATTTTCTTTTACACAGGCAAGTGAATTTCTTCAAAACAGTATTTACAGACTATAATAGTATGGGAATGCTGGTCATCTCCTTTTGCTTGTAGCTTCAACACTCTTGAGTACCTAACACATGGTATCATTCTTGGTTAAACTTTTTTTTTTATTTCTCTTCAGAAGCAAAGCTTCCTTTGAAATATGCAGTATTTTTAAAGACTGTTTAACCAGGCATTTTTAACATATGGTTAAGGATGGGTGTCAAGGTGATCTTGTGCAGGAGATAGCTTAATTCTTTACGCTGTGACATTATTAGCCCTTTTTTTCTTTTTCTTGGCACTTCCATTGAATAATATTTTTACTCAGTGGGTTGCAGGTTGTGTCTGATTGAATAACTCTATACAGAGTTTTCAACTTTAAGTAAATGGGCTTGATCATCCACAATCTTTTTCATTTATTTTACTGATAATCTGGCTTCCCTGGATGCAGGTCACTTGGTAACAAGTAATTCTTGCAGGTAGTTCTCGGTGGTTTGATTACAAGAAGAGCAGCTGCCATGTTGTTGCTGTCCCTGACCTCCCCTTGACACATTCCATTCTATAATACTGATTTATATTGACTTTGACCTGATTATTTTTTAATTTATTATATCTTATTACATTTATTTATTTGAATTGCGTTATTTTGCGGTTTCAACCCAAACTGAAATACTCAGTTTAAAGAGTTAACATTTATTATAGAGTTGTACTTTGGTTTTATTGTTGCTGCTTTGTGTAATTTAAATACTAGTTACTTAAAAAATATTAACTATATGTCAAAATTGTTCAATAAAAATTGATTTAGAACATGCAGATAAATATCTCATTCAAGCTGGGTATGTGAAGAGGTAGCATATGTAACAGTATAGACTCCTTGTTGTGATCATTTCCAGTGTTTACTGGTGCATTTATTTAATTATATTCCATTCAAACCTTACTCAGTGCCTATTGCTGCAGCATTCTAGATTCTCCTAATTAACTTGCCACACCTATAGGGAACAGTTACTGTCAAATTATACCATTTTGGCCTCAGGCTTTTTCAGCTTTTTTATCTGCAGCTATATTCCTTAAAATATTTTGAACTGTTTGTTTAAACAATTTTAAGCTATACTTAAAATGCCTTCCCTTCAGCCTTATCTATTTGGGCTATCTTAGAACATTGTTGAGTGGAGACAGGAACTATCAGTCAGCCATCCACAAAGTCCTAAGTTCATCTCAGAATGTGCTCCAATCTTGTTTCTACATTTCGTTGCCTTTGCATAGACATAAATCACTTGCCAGAACACAGCAGCACATCTGCACTCTGCCCACCTTGCAGCCTCAATTCCTCTTTTCTGGCTTGAGGATATAGCAATTCATGTCTGTTCATCCTTCCTGTGTGGGGGCATTCCTTATTCCTCCTGTTTTATTCTTAACATTTCTGTTATATAGTTGATTCTATTCCATCACTATATAGTAACCAAGGACCTCTTCACATGATTGTCCTTTATCATTTTCCAGGTCCACTTGACACGAATTGGAGCTTAGGAGCTTTTTTAGTGAATTGCCTGAAGATGGTGCAATAGCAATTTTCCAACATACTTTGAGCACCTCCATTCTAGCTGCACTCTGAGAATGTATATAAAAATGGATAATGTATTAACATTAAAAAAAATCAATATGAAAGTGCCTTAAAGTGCTAATAAGAGGTTCAATATCATATTACTCTATTAGAGTTCCATCCTATCATTCTATGTACTTCTCACTTGATTGATCATTTAAGTAAAAATTCCCAGATGAGTATGGTATTAATTAACGCAGTGTGTTTATTTTGTAAAACAGAATAGAGGATGAAGCACAGTATGGTTTAGGGCGTGATTAAGAAGTCACTACTGTTTGAGTATAGTATTATATAGTATCACGCATAATATTCCAGGGTTCTCCATCAGATTCACTGGTAGCTTATCATATTTAGTAGTCATCATGAGTATGGCATCTCCAAACCAATAGGTTTACAGACCATACGTGGTGGATTACGGCCATGGCAGCACTAATCTTGGCAGTGGCTCACTCTGCTTTTAGTGTCTAACATGATTGTCTTTTAACTTTGATCAAGATCTGGCCAGTTTTTTCTGCATTGCTGACCCATCGAAAATCACAAATAAACAACATATATGTACATTTTTTGCACGGTACACAAAGTTGTTCTTAGATACAGATTTTGATTATACCACGAGCACACCTTATGCATTCCCTTTCTTAGCAATTTCTGAAACTAATTCCTGCTAGCAGGAGTGCTACATGCCCTTTTGACTCACCCTCCTCATCCCTTCTTCTGATACTTCTAGTGACCTTTTCCAAACTACAGTCACCCACTTACTATAATGTCACCCTGGCTGATTGTCACTGCATTACTATTCTGTTTTGCCCAGACATATTTGACAATTAAAAAAAATACAAATGAAAAAAATTATATGATATCTACTTCTTTACTTTATCTACTATGATATTTACTTCTTTTGAAAATATTTTAAATCTATTTATTAATAATTATTATCAGTTGTTTTAAACAATCGGTTAAGTAAAAGAAAATTAATAATCTGACATCCATTTAGTCATTAAGAACACATAATTCATAATTCATACAACAACTGTGATAAAGTACAAAAACAAAAAACAACCAAACAAAAAAATATAGTCCAGACCTGAGGAATAGTGAAGCACAACCATATCCATCATTCAACCATTTTCTTAGCTGCTTTTCAATTTAGGGTTGCAGGGGGCTGGAGCCTATACCAGCTGTCATTGGCCTAAACTTGGAGTACACCCTGGACAAGTCGTCAGCCTCTTACAAGGCAACTATCTAACATCTGTAGCCAATTATATAGGATTAACCGAGAGTTAAATCAATACTAGACACATGTTAATTATATGCACTGGATTCTAGAACTTTATAATAATCACTGTAATATGGTTATAATATTTTTATAGCTGGTGTTCTGTGGAATATTTGAGTCTTAAAGAGCATACTAAAAAGCTGCAAAATTAAATGTTATTTTTTTCTTTAGAATATGTCAACATTTCAGAGGTTAAAGTCCTAATAGATCCTGCACTGAAATGGAAGAAGTACCTTCCCTGTTTCCTTTCCCTCTCTTGTCAGTCTGAGGTCATGGTGTCAGATTGTTAATTGCTCTGAAAAAATCAACACAAACACTGGGAGGCTAGCCAAGGGCAAGTGAGCTATCTGTGATTCAGTGGGGAGGCTGAACTTCTCAATGCTAGTGTCTTCAGTCTACAATTAGCCATGTGGGAGACTTCAAACATGCACTGCGCGTGAGAGAACATCTCTCTCATCCACTAATCCTGTCTGTTTCACACTCTGGTTCCATGCTGCTGCTTCCTCCGCTGCTGTTTGATCCATGCTTAATGAGGGTGTTAGATCACCAATATAGCAATTACATTACCTGGAAAAGAGGCAAGCCACTTTTCTTTTCCTCACGATTTTTACAAAGCAACCCAAGTGCATCATTAATGCTAAGCTTCCTGATACATTGCCTTTGTTATCTTTTCTATTTTTTGTGAAACTCATCAAAAAATCTTTTACAATTTGGATCTGATGTACTTGCTTTGTGCCCTCTTGCACGGCAATTATTATTATTTTCCTCCTACTGGTCTGTTCACTTTCAAAGCCATTTATCATAGCAGAGCTCATTTGTTTTACAGAAGTCTCTTGCATGTTTTACCAGCTACTATCCTCTGCTATTGACACCACCATCCCCCACACCATCACCTCACTCCTTTGTGGTTGAAAAATGGCCTGCTTTATAAAGTCCAGCCAATTTACTTAGAAGAGAACAAGTAATATCACATCCCAAAATTACCAATGTTTATTTTCAGTTACATCAATTTAAAAAAATGTTTCTAAAGTTTGTAACTATTATCCAATACATACACATACTGTTTCTGAGCCCAAAACATGCAATGTTGATAACTATTCATATTAAAGAAACAGTTCAGTTGCTACAGAAATGCAGCAATTAACATAAATCTAATTTGTATTTATAATGTTGTAAAACACTTTGAAAACACTTTTTCTCCCTTTTTCCATATTTACCTGTTTGAACCATTTCATGCTGTAGTTTCTAAGACCTC